CCTACAAAGGACACGAACTCATCGTTTTTTATGGCTGCATAGTATTCCATGGTGTATATGTGCCACATTTTCCCTGTCCAGTCTATCATCAGTGGGCATTTGGGTTGGTTCCAGGTCTTTGCTGTTGTAAACAGTGCTGCAATGAACATTCATGTGCATGTGTTCTTATAGTAGAATGATTTATAATCTTTTGGATATATACCCAGTAATGGGATTGCTGGGTCAAATGGAATTTCTATTTCTAGGTCCTTGAGGAATCGCCACACTGTCTTCCACAATGGTTGAACTAATTTACACTCCCACCAACAGTGTAAAAGTGTTTCTATTTCTCCACATCCTCTCCAGCATCTGTTGTCTCCAGATTTTTTAACGATCGCCATTCTAACTGGCGTGAGATGGTATCTCAATGTAGTTTTGATTTGCATTTCTCTGATGACCAGTGATGATGAGCATTTTTCATTTTTTTGTTGGCCTCATGTATGTCTTCTTTTGTAAAGTGTCTGTTCATATCCTTTGCCCACTTTTGAATGGGCTTGTTTGTTTTTTTCTTGTAGATCTGTTTTAGTTCTTTGTAGATTCTGGATATTAGCCTTTTGTCAGATGGGTAGATTGCAAAAATTTTTTCCCATTCTGTTGGTTGCCAATTCACTCTAATGACTGTTTCTTTTGCTGTGCAGAAGCTGTGGAGTTTGATTAGGTCCCATTTGTCGATTTTGGCTTTTGTTGCCAATGCTTTTGTAGTTTTGGCCATGAAGTCCTTGCCTATGCCTATGTCCTAAGTGGTTTTGCCTAGATTTTCTTCTAGGGTTTTTATGGTGTTAGAGCTTATGTTTAAGTCTTTAATCCATCTGGAGTTAATTTTAGTGTAAGGTGTCAGAAAGGCGTCCAGTTTCTGCTTTCTGCACATGGCTAGCCAGTTTTCCCAACACCACTTATTGAACAGGGAATCCTTTCCCCACTGCTTGTTTTTGTCAGGTTTGTCAAAGATCAGATGGTTGTAGATGTGTGGTGTTGTTCCGAGGCCTCTGTTCTGTTTCCATTGGTCTATATCTCTGTTTTGGTACCAGTACCATGCTGTTTTGATTACTGTAGCCTTCAGTATAGTTTGAAGTCTGGTCATGTGATGCCTCCAGCTTTGTTCTTTTTGCATAGAATTGACTTGGCTATGTGGGCTCTCTTTTGGTTCCATATGAAGTTTAAGGTGGTTTTTCCAGTTCTGTGAAGAAGATCATTGGTAGCTTAATGAGGATAGCATTGAATCTGTAAATTACTTTGGGCAGTATGGCCATTTTCATGATATTGATTCTTCCTAACCATGAGAATGGAATGTTTCTCCATCTGTTTGTGTCCTCTCTTATTTCATTGAGCAGTGGTTTGTAGTTCTCCTTGAAGAGGTCCTTTACATTCCTTGTTAGTTGTATTCCTAGGTATTTTATTCTCTTTGTAGCAATTGTGAATGGCAGTTCATTCTTGATTTGGCTCTCTTTAAGTCTGTTATTGGTGTATGGGAATGCTTGTGATTTTTGCACATTGATTTTGTATCCTGAGACTTTGCTGAAGTTGATTATCGGTTTCAGGAGATTTTGGGCTGAGACGATGGGGTCTTCTCAATATACAATCATGTCATCTGCAAATAGAGAAAATTTGACTTCCTCCTTTCCTATTTGAATATCCTTTATTTCTTTTTCTTGCCTGATTGCTCTGGCTAGTACTTCCAATACTATATTGAGTAATTGCTGGTTCATAAAGTATTTTATTTCTCCTTCACTTATGAAGCTTATTTGGCTGGATATGAAATTCTGGGTTGAAAGTTCTTTTCTTTAAGGATGTTGAATATTGGACCCCACTCTCTTCTGGCTTGTGGGGTTTCTGCTGAGAGATCTGATGTGAGTCTGATGGGTGTCCCTTTGTCAGTAACCTGACCTTTCTCTCTGGCTGCCCTTAGCATTTTATCCTTCATTTCAACCCTGGTGAATCTGACAATTATGTGCCTTGGGGTTGCTCTTCTTGAGGAATATCTTTGTGGTGTTCTCTGCATTTCCTGGACTTGAATATTGGCCTGCCTTGCTAGGTTGGGGAAGTTTTCCTGGATAATATCCTGAAGAGTATTTTCCAGCTTGGATTCATTGTCTCTGTCACATTCAGGTACACCTATCAAATGTAGATTAGATCTTTTCACATAATCCCATGTTTCTTGGAGACTTTGTTCATTACTTTTTACCCTTTTTTGTCTAATCTTGCTGCTTCATTTTATTTCATTGAGTTGATCTTTGACCTCTGATATCCTTTCTTCTGCTTGGTCAATTCAGCTGTTGAAACTTGTGGATGCTTCACAAAGTTCTTGTTTTGTGTTTTTCAGCTCCATCTAGTCACTTATAGTCCTCTCTACGCTGTTTATTCTTGTTAGCATTTCATCAAATCTTTTTAGTTTCTTTGCATTGGGTTAGAACATGTTCTTTTAGCTCACAGAAGTTTCTTATTATCCACCTTCTGAAGCCTGTTTCTGTCATTCATCACACTCGTTCTCCATCCAGCCTTGTTCCCTTGCTGGCAAAGAGTTGTCATCCCTTGTAGGAAGAGAGGCATTCTGGTTTTGGGTGTCTTCATCCTTTTTGCGCTAGTTTCTTCCCATCTTTGTGGATTTATCCACATATCATCTTTGTAGTTTTTGACTTTCAGATTGGGTCTCTGAGTGGACGTCCAGTTTGTTGATGATGAAATTATTTCTTTCTGTTTCTTAGTTTTTTTCCTAACAGTCAGGCCCCTCTGCTGTGGGACTGCTGAGGTCCTCTCCAGCTCCTGCTTGCCTGGGTATCACCTGCAGTGACTGCAGAACAGTAAGGGTTGCTGCCAGTTTCTTCTTCTGCTATCTTTGTCCCAGAAGGATACCCGCCAGATGTCAGTCTGAGCTCTCCTTTATGATGTGACTCTTTGGATATATGGGGGTCAGGGAGCTGCTTGAGGAGATAGTCTGTTCTTTGTAGGAGCTCAAGTGCTGAGCTGTGAGCTCCATTGTTCATTCAGAGCTGCTGGGCAGGTACATTTAAGTCTGTTGCAGCAGAACTCATAAACGCCCTTTTTTTTTTTCTTAACCCAGGTGCTCCATCCCTGGGAGTTAGGGCTTTATTTATAAGTTTCTGTCATGCTGCTGCCTTTTTTCAGGGCTGCCTTGCCCAGCAAGGAGGCAGCCTAGTCACAGTCTTCCTACAGAGGCTTTGCTGAGCTGCTGTGGGCTCTGCCCAGCTGCCGTGTGAACTTCCCTGCAGTCCTGTTTATACAGGTATAGTTAGGACTGCTTCAGCAATGGCGGCCAACCTCTGTAAGGGCAGACTATCTCTGTAGTGGCGTGCTGCCTTGGCAATGGCAGACTACCTCTATAGTGGTGGACTGCCTTGGTAATGATGGATCCCCCTCCCCCCTGCAGAGCTGGACCATCCCAGGTTCAGCTGTGCTTGATGTGAAACTCTCAATCCAGAGCATTTCAGATTGCTGTTTTATGTGGGGGTGAGACCAGCTGAGCCCAATCACCTGGCTTCCTGCCTCAGACCCCTTTTTTTTTTTTTTTTTTAAAGGGCAACCCTGTCTCTCTGGTGTTCCAGTCGCCTGTTGAAAAGGCACTGGGATCTGTGTGATTTCACATGCAGCGACCCACTGCACTGGCTGAAACAGCCCCACTGAGGAGATTCGTGGTGCTTTTTTTGCCCAGGAATCTCCTGGCCTGGCTCCATGTTTCAGTCCCCTTTTTATCAGTTGAATAGGTGACTGTCTCCCAGGAGCTCCAATCGCCAGCTAAAATGGCACCCGGACCCATGTATTTTGTGTGGAGACCTGCCACGGCAGCCAAAACAGCTATGCTGGTGACCCGTGGGGCTGCTCCGCCTGGGAATCTCCTGGTCTGTGGGCAATAAAAATCCGTCCAGAATGCAGCGTTCACTCACCCTCCACACTTTCACTGGGAGCTGCAATCCTGTGCTGCTCCTAATCAGCCATCTTGGATCAGTGACCAGTTTTCCTTTCTTGATGTACATTTGTCTAGTTGTGGTATGAGGGTAATACTGGCCTCATAGAATGAATTTGGAAGTATCCTTCATGCTCTATTTTTCGGAATAGTTTGAGTAGTATTGGTATTCATTATTTCAATCTCTTTGCTAAATTTATCTGATAGAATTCTGAATTTATTCTCTGTGTCATCTCAAATTTCGTTGAGTTTCCTCAGAACAGCTATGTTGAAATATGTCTGAAACAACACATATATCTGTTTCACCAGGATTGACTCCTAGTGCTTTATTTAATTCATTTGATGAAGTCATGTTTTTCTCCTTGGTGCTCATAAATGTTCACTATTGTCTGGGCCTTGTTTTGCAGTCTGGGTATGCTTTTACCCATCAATCTTGAGTAGGCTTCCTAAGTATTTCAAGTGACTAACACCCCATGGTTGGTAATATTGTGGTTTGTGCAGTCATGTAGAGGTACTGCCTTGCTGGCCTCAGATAATATCCAGAAGAATTTTCTCAATTACTAGGCAAAGACTCATGTTCTTTTCCCCTAATTTTCCAAAACAAATGGAATCTCTGTCTTTCTGTGCTGAGCTGCCTAGAACTTGAGGCTCAGTAATGCAAGCACCCCTGTGCCCACCACATTTTCAGAAAACAATGAGGATTCCTATTTTTTCCATGAATAGTTATTAAATGGTTGGTGGGATTAAGACTCCAGTAATGACAGCTATCCCATCATGTAATCAGAAAAGCCACCAAGTACTCTCAAGCTCAGGAAATGAGAACAATGTCATGACTGATTCCTGGTCTACAGTAATTGCAAGATATCATCAAATGTTAGACTGATCCTATTTCAGAGATAACAAAATATGAAAAGAAAAAATAGAGTTTTAAAATTTATGACATATGCTTTACTTTGTTCATCTAAGGAGGACTGTAATCATTATTTCCCGGAACCTACTGTACTTCAAAATGATTTTGACTGGCTTCTTCTATTTATTCTAGGCATAGTCAAGATAACTCCTAAGGACTATCGTCGGGTTGGAGCTTGGTGGCTTGGTTTTGTTGTGTCTGGACTATTATCCAGTATTTTTTCCATACCATTCTTTTTCTTGCCCTCAAATCCAAATAAACCACAGCAAGAAAGGAAAGTATCACTATTTTTGAATGTGCGAAAAACAAATGATAAAAGGAATCAAACAACTAATTTGACCCACCAAGGGAAAAATATTTCCAAAAACGTGACTGGTAAGTTTTTAACATTCATTGTCAACTTGGAGTTGTTAATATCAATAAAAGGTAGGAATGAGTATTCCAAAATAATAAAGCATACCGAAATCATCAAGAATTAGCTTTCTTCTGCACTAAATTTAGCTGAATTATTTTTCTAAAAGTCACACTAAAGTTAACAAATATTTCTTGAGCACATAACAAGCAGAAGTGGATTAGGATTTTGCTCTTCAGCAGGGAGAAACCAATCAAAGGCTACAAATAAAACACCTGTTTCTTATAAGCCAAAAAGTACATATTTATTTTAATATTAAATAGTGTAAACTGTGAGGGTTTAAAAGATTATAATATTTCATTCATTCACTTATTCAACAAATGGTACCAGCCACCATACAATGCCCTGATGATAGAACATTACTTTTATTTTTTCAAGAACCTAGTGGATAATATTGAGAAGTATATAGATCATTGTAACAAAGTATCTTAAATAGCATGGTAAGTTTATACTTAACTATTCTCAGATGTAAATGTGGAATAAGGAGAAGGAATTCAGGAAAGGTTTCTCTTGTAGGTAATTGGAGTAAGATAATTTTTCTTGTTAATTAAAATTGCATATGTGTGTGTGTGTGTGTATATATATATATATAAAATAGCCTACCTAAGTATACAAAAATTTAGTGGAAGCAATAGCTGTAACTAAAGTGATTGAAGTCAGTAATGTGAATCAGGATCCTTTACCACTTGATAGTGGCTCCTTTTTTTAATATAAGCCTGGGAGAGCTAATGAAGGACCACCGAAAAAACGTAATCAAGAGAAAGATCTGGCAGCAGTCAGAGTAAAATATTTGAAATGGTAAGGTATTGACAGTAGTTTTCAGATTGGGATGGAATGGTGAAAACATAAAACCCAAAGTAGTCCAACCAACACCTAAACCTTTGGCAAATGTTTCCGTTTTTACTGAATTAAAGTTACAAACTTTCCAGAATAACCCATGTTCTCCTTCTCATCAATTCTTTCACTTCCCATTTGTTATTGTTGTTGTTATTTTCTCCTCTCCACCACACTAACCCAAGTTCAATGAGATGCTAGAGCCTTGTGTATCCATTCACTCATCAGAGTGGTTGTTCAATTTCGGCTGCATCAGTAGCTTGAAATTGTCCATGGTAGAATTTACCACCATCCATTACTAAGGAAATTGAGAAATTCTACAAATCAAGTGTGTTTCCCAACAAATCAGTTGTTAAACATTTACTAGCACACCACTGTTCTAAGTTTTCTTAATTTAACAAGCATACTAAAAATAGCATATCAAGGAATTTTTGTTTTGTGTATGCTTTGTTTCTACTTTATCTAATTGAATTCATAATTAATGGATTTTCCAAACCTATAAAAGCCAGAGTTCACATGAATTCAAAAATAATAAAGAGGATAATGAAGATGCAAAAATGGGACAATTGCAACACTGTCTATATTTTGAGCTGGGTTTTTTTTGGGGGGAGGGGTTAATAAGTGTCTGTCAGGAATGGATAACATACATAAGTACCTATAGTCAGAAGAAAAACCCCATTGAATTTATTCTATATGCTCTTGATTAAAACTAAGACTAATTGTGTTAGTTTTCAGTTCATTGTAAAGACAATTTGTAAACAATGAGAATGGTTCAAAAGTTGAACAAATTGTTCTTAGGTAGTCAGCGTAATGTCACTTTAGTTGTTTATTGATCTGTTTATTAAAAATATGTAATAAGTTACAATTGTTTAGAAGTTCAGACCAGATGGCATGCAAGATGCTATCAACCACAAAATTTAACAATTTGGTTAATCTACATGTTTCATTCATTTTGAGCAAAGATCATGACTCTCTTAGAATGCCTCACAAATCAATGGTGGTTCTAACTCACCCAGGAGACCAATAGAGGGAAGTTTGGCACTTTGGCCTAACAATTTTAAATGTTGTTTACTTCTACTATACATTTTCTTACCTCTTTTCTGTTCTGTGCCATTTCCTCAACTGACTTTTGTATTATTATTATCAGAGGAAACTCTTTCTTTAAAAAATGTTTTCCTCTGATTGTATTACTGTTAGTACTGGTCATATCTACTGAAAATCTTTAGAGGTCTATAGAGAACAAGATATTTCAAAGCTCATATGATCCATCTCTCAATAATCATTTCTGGGTCTGTCTTGCTGTACTCTAAAACTGCCTGTGGCTTCCACTTTTAACTTCTATTATAGTCGATTGACCTGGCAATCAGAGACCTAGATCATAAAATTTCTGCCACGGACAGAAGTTAGAAATTTGTTACCACACCTATTTCTAGGCATACATTTTTGTACAATTACTGTCATAATGTCCCTTGGGACCAACCTTGTTATCCCCTGCCTTTCCTTCTTGCATCTTAACACAGGTGATTTATAATACTGCCAAATTTAAGGGGTCTGTATTGTATGGTGCAGAAGCTATATAACAGGAAAAAAAGAAGTCTGAGTCCTCATACTAATTTTGTCTTTAAAAGTTTTGAACATCAGAGATTGTATTTCTGTGTCTTGGATTATGCTGTCCTTAATTTGAATTTATATTTAACAATTTTGTTGTAATATAATAATATTATTCAGTGCTAATACATAAGGAACATCACATTTCTTTCCTTCCTCTTCCTCCTCCTCTCCTCCTCCTCCTCCTTTTCCTTCTCCTTCTCCTCCTCCTTCTCCTTCTCCTCCTCCTTCTCCTTCTCCTTCTCCTTCTCCTTCTCCTTCCTCTCCTTCTTCTCCTTTCTTCTTTTCCTTCTTGTTCATTGTGACAGGCTATGGCTCTGTCCCCTAGGCTAGAGTGCGGTGGCATGTACATGAGTTGCTGCAGCCTCAATTTCCCAGGATCAACGTATTCTCCCATATCAGCCCCCCAAGTAGCTGAAATGATGGGGGAATGCCACCATGCCAGGCTAATATTTGTATTTTTTGTAGAGAGGAGATTTTTTCATGTTGTCTAGTCTGTTCTCTAACCCCTGAGCTCTAGCAATCTGCATGCCTTAGCCACTCAAAGTTTTGGAATTCCAGGCGTTAGCCACTGCATGCTGCAAACATCACATTTCTGATTCTTTTATTTTTCTTGAACACTTAGTATATTGCCTGGTACCCAATTGAAAATTAAGTATTTGTGGAATAAATAAATAAGTTAATTAATCTGTCTGTAATAGAATGGTAAAGTGCTAAGGATAACCAAATATTAAGTGAACAGAGTTAAGTCACAAAACAGCATTTATGTATGATCCTATTTGGGAGTAAAATGAACTAAACCAATAAATAATATTAGGCATATGAAAAATATTGAAGGAGTATATTTAAACTGTTAAGAGTAGAATTGCAGGATACTCTTTCTGTGTTATGTAGTTTTGTAATTTTAAATCTTATATAACATTTATAAAATTCAAATATTAATGTATTTAAATTGCATTGAAACATTGTTCACTTTTGTAATTCTACAGGTTTTTTACAGTCTTTGAAAAGTATCCTTACCAATCCCCCATATGTTATATTTGTGCTTTTCACATTGTTACACATGAGCAGCTACATTTGTTCTCTTACTTATGTGATTAAAAACATGGAGGAACAGTATGGTCAGTCTACATCTCAGAATAACTTTTTGTTGGGTAAGACATATTTTTTACATGGTTACTTGATAAATGAAACATTACTAGTACTTGTGTTAAAAGACACATTCTATTGTGAAGATGATTTTATATTTTACTAAATATGATTTTATTATCCCTCTAACTTCATAACATTTGCCAAGATTGTGATATAACCATTGTTCTGCAATTGAAGTTAATTTCATGTTAGATGAGTTCTAGAAACAAAGTTGCTTTTGAATAAAACATTCAGATGTAGTATCTGCATAATTGGGTCTCATAGAACTGAGATCCTGAGACAAACCCTTTTGTAATATAACCATTATAATCCTATAATTCATGAAATTGAACTAAGGCCTCACCTACTTACAAAGCATATGATATTGACATTTTTTATAAAAAGAATCAGTTTAAATGCATCACAAAATATGCATTATTCAAAATATCACATTTTAGAGAGTATATTTTGCTACAGTATCTATTTTCAGTGTCATTGAGATCTGCTCATTAAGAAGTTATATCACTTTGTAAAAACTATTCTAAAAACCTTTCTATTATACAAAACTATCAATTTATAGAAACATTGTAGAAATTTGATAAATATGTGATGAGTTAAAAATTTATCAAGTGGTATGTGACTAGGTCCTGAGCACAAAAGAAAATAGTAATTAGAAAATATATGTCCTGAAGCACTAGACCAGGCATCTGGATGATCTCCCTGTTGAACCTAAAAGTTTAAACTTAAAAGTTAAGTTTTGGCTCCCAATAACTTGATCTGAATTTTTTGTTAGAGGAATCTTTATTTTTAATAACTCTTACAGGACAATGACGTGGAAAAATTGTAGGAGGAATTAACCATTTTTAATTCTGTATGTTGATCTTATTATACCAGCGTATGTATGTGTTTTGATGAATAGTGATGAGATATTACTTCAGGAATTCAGTTATAAATCTCTGGGAAAATTTGAAGTAAGTTATTGAGGGTTGGAACTCTACTTTGAGAGATGTACAGAATTTTAGATGGCAGGCTCAAAATCTCATAGTAAAAAAAGATTTTGTTTTGTTGTTGATTTCCAGAAATAAAGAACATGCTTCATAGAAATAATCTGTTCAGACACACAAATATTCTTAGCCATTGCCTTTTGCTTTTGAAGAAACCAAACCCTCAGAACTGTCAGGAAGAAATTATTTTGTCTGTTTTATATGGTACACTGGTTCCCTACCTCCACCTTAGTCTGCACCCTCCTCTTAAAAAAGTGATAAGATGGGATGAATTTGATTCTTCTGATCTCATACTGTGTTTCATATGTAAAGACATATTAGAAAAAAACAATTATATACACGTATGAATATATGTTTACAGCTTTTTTCTCTTCTTTCATTTCTAGGAGTCCTATCTATACCTGTTATTGCAATCGGCATGTTTTTAGAAGGATATATCATTAAAAAATTCAAGTTGTCTTTAGTTGGACTTGCCAACTTGGTATTTTGTTCTGCAACAATGCATCTCTTAGCTCAACTTTCACATTTAATCCTACTCTTTGAAAGCAAATCAGTTGCTGGCCTAACCTTGACCTATGATGGGCTTGTATATATTATTATGTCAATTTCATAATATGTTAACCATCCAATTAAAAGACTATGTGTAAGGAAAATAAGGTAGAATACAATTGTAATTAAACTTTCTTTTCATTGAGAGAAAATTCATTTTTAAAATTCTTAAAATGTTCACTCCCTGAGACCTTAAAGTTATTTTGTTCCTTCATTAAAGAAAAGCAACATAGGTTGAAATAATAATACCTATGAAATAATAATTATAATTTATGGGTAATTATAATGTGTGGTGGGTACTTTTACCCCATTTTATAAACGGGAAAGTGAAGTTTAGAAAATACATAAATTATTTGGCTAACAATGTTGATTCTGGCTGAAATTTAGGGGGTTTGACTCCAAAACTCTTAGTCTTAAGTATTAAAATTTGGGATGTATCATAACAGTAACATAAATTACATTCTCCAAAAGCGACTGAATAACTTTTATCTACAGTTTTTTTATATTAACAACTGTCTTTATGAAATAACACTTTTTCACATTGTACTTAATTCTCCTTTCTGCAAGATACTTTTTTTTTCTTCCGGGAGTCTACATTGGAAATAGCATTAAGATATATTCTGTTTATAATTTTATGTGAGATCTTGGAATATTCTTACTTTTTCATTATTATCATGTTTTGTCAAATGTTTTTAGCACTACAGTCTCTACACCAAATCAAGAACAAGATGCCTACACAGACTTTTAATTGAATATAGCCAACAGTGTAAGCTTAGGAAGGTTCAAAGTCGAGCAAAAAGCCAAGATACTCAGATTACAGTTCAATAACCATGTTCTTTAGTGCTGCTTACTATTGGTTCTGAGCTGTAAAACTCTGGATTTTATGAGGTGTTGATTTTAATTTGTCAAATATTATCATTTTCTTATCTAAATAACATTCTGTTCTTGGAGGCTTGCTAAACTAATCATGAATTATTTTCTGCATGTCCCTAAATCTAAACCGTTTTTGATTTTTCCTATCAACCATCACCTACTTTGGTGAGTCAATAAACATTGTACCTAGAGAACTGGATTTTAGAGGTAAAAGAAACTTAGAGATCATGCAGCCCAACTTCCATATATCATTTCCTTTATTATTTGAGACCTAGAGAATTATGACTTGCTTAAAGTCACACAATGACTCCCTATTGATCTCATATCACACCATTAGTTTCAAAGTCTTCCTGTTTTTCAAGGCAGGCTTTAGCATAAAGCTAGTTTCCTGGAAACAAGTATAGTAACTGTGTCATCTGTTAAAAAGATGGCAGCAAGAGTTATACAGGATTTGTTCAATTTAATTAAATTTACTGGGTCCTTCTTGAAAGGTGATTATTTGTAGGATACATCAATTTTCTCATAGAACTCATAATCTAATAATAGCAAATAATAAAATCAATGTATCCAATATTTATGAAGCCCTATTCACTAGGACCTGTTTTGTAAGTATAACAGAGGTCTCAGAATTATCTCTGATTGTCTCTAAGGGGCCTTAAGACTTTATCAAGGATCCACAAATTCTAACCTATTTTTATAACGATAGAAAGACTTTGCCTTTTGGATTCACCCTCATGACCAAATCACATCTTGACAGCCCTATCTCTTAATACCTTCACATAGGAGATCAGATTTTAATTCATTTATTTGGGGAGGGGCCCAAATATTTAGACCACAACAATCATAAACCATTCTCCATAACTAATCTCAGTAGCATGTCCTCAAACAGAATAATGTATTAGATAACTTTAAATGAAATTATTAATAATGTGTTTTCTAAATTACTAATCTACTTTTTTCTTAATTTAAATTACATACTCATTCCAAGATACTTCATCAATCCTCAATCATTAACAAATTTTTGCAAAACAAAACAACTTTTAAAATCTTAAAGGAGAAAATTTATACAAACAATATGCTGTATAGTTTTAGCCATGATATAAAATTATATTTAATAATTTATAGCCATATAATAAAGTAAATCAGTATAGAAATACTATAGTTTTGCTTTAAAAATATACAGAACTTGATCAGGCACTGTGACTCATGCCTGTAATCTCATCACTTTGGGAGACTGAGGACAGATCGCTAGGTCAGGAGATCAAGATCATCCTGGCCGACATGGTGAAACCCCATCTCTACTAAAATACAAAAAATTAGCCAGGCATGGTGGTGCACGCCTGTAGTCCCAGCTTCTTGAGAGCTGAAGCAGGGGAATCACTTGAACCCGGGAGGCAGTGATTCAGTGAGGCGAGATCGAGCCACTGCACTCCAGCAGAGTAACACTCTGTCTAAATATATATATATATATATATATATATATATGTATATATATTATATATATACACACACACAGAGAACTTTTATACAGAACTCTGTATATATACAGAATATATATATATATATTTGCAATATATATATATAAAGTAAAATATATATATAACTTTATAGTGAGCTGTGAAGAAATTAATGCCATTACCTTACCAAAGAAAAACTGAATCTAGAAAAATAAAAGTACTTATTTAATGTGAACCTTCTTGATAGAATCATAACAACCCCTTGTCTAAGTCTTATCTCTTATTTCTTTTTTTAAATTTTACTTTTTCTAGGTAATAAATCATATCTTGGTAAAGAAGGGTAATTAAAAGTGTTAAAAAAAAATAAAAGTTTTTTTTTTTTTTTTTTTTTTTTTTTGAGACGGAGTTTCGCTCTTGTTACCCAGGCTGGGGTGCAATGGCGTGATCTCGGCTCACCGCAACCTCCGCCTCCTGGGTTCAGGCAATTCTCCTGCCTCAGCCTCCTGAGTAGCTGGGATTACAGGCACGCGCCACCATGCCCAGCTGATTTTTTGTATTTTTAGTAGAGACGGGGTTTCACCATGTTGACCAGGATGGTCTCGATCTCTTGACCTCGTGATCCACCCGCCTCGGCCTCCCAAAGTGCTGGGATTACAAGCTTGAGCCACCACGCCCGGCCGTAGTATTTTTAAAAAATCATTTTGGCATCATCAAATTAAATTTTTTTATCTAATTAAAGAAAACCTTTTATTGCATTTCTCTTCTCTTTCCCTCTTCTTTTCCCTCCTCCTTTATTTCCCTTCTACTCCCCCTCATCTCTCACTTCCTTCTCCTCTCTTCTTCCTCTCTCTTCTGTCTCTTTTTGATATATGTCTATCATATATTTTCAGAAATAGTCCAGTAAGATTTCATGTAGATGTACCACTTTCTTATTGCAACTCAGAGTGCAATTGTGATAAAAATCAATGGGAACCAGTCTGTGGGAGCAATGGAATAACTTACCTGTCGCCTTGTCTAGCAGGATGCAAATACTCAAGTGGTAGTAAAAAGCCCATAGTGAGTATTTATTTTTGCCTTTTCTTCTCTCCTTAATCAAAATCACAGATTTGGTTTTTATTAATTACTTATCGTATCTTCCTGTAAGTAAGGTCTCCAGTATAAAGATCAAAGTAAAAGATCCTAATATTATCTGTCATTGTGATGGCTGTGAAATATAAATAAAACTTCACGTAAAGTCCAGCTTAGGACTTACCAAGTTTTTCTGTTACTTGAATTCTTATTTGAGATTACCCCAGTTTTTTCTTGAGAGTGTAGAAATATGACCTCTTAGAATTTAATCCACTTAGGATTTCTAAGAAGCATCTGATTTGACTGAAGCACATGATTTCAATTAATTTGGAATTAATTTATCTATCAGAAGTTAGGGGAAAGTCCTGATTAACCTGTTGTCAGCACTACCTATTTTACTAGGACAACAATCTATGTGCATTTTTATGTATACATCCTGATGAGTTTAGCTAGGGGCTCACCTGGGCTCTTGACTTTCCAATAAATTAATCAAGGATCCATGCTCACGTGACTGCCCAATTCTCGATTTCCTATTTTGATTTCCTCAAAGCTGGCACTTCTGTTACTTCTCTTAGTATCCTGCCTTCTTATTGCCAACATATCCATTAGAAATTAAATTTCCTTCTTCACTCAAAAGCTTTTTTTTTTACATGTGAGCCACGGGTTTTTCCCAATATCCTGGGTAACTTCGAATAGTTGGAAATTGGCTGTTCCCCATACCTACAATTCACTCAACATCTCACAAAGTTGTGTAATCACTTTTCTGGCGATTTTCCTATTACCAAATTTAGCAATATTGTCAGCTATGATAATTGCTCTCTACACACTCTTCTATGTTTCATTTTTAAACATTTTTCATCTTTCCCTTGCCCATTGTCATACCAATATATTATGGAAAGGCATGGAGAAATTTGAAGAGTAAAGCATCCTAGGTTGCTTTAAAATAGCCCATAAGTTTAATAAACTTGCACAACATATATGGCCCAAAGACTATACTTAAAAGCCCACATCTCATATTCATGGGCTATTATGTTTTTCAGTAAGGGTGATCCCGTTTAATCCCTGGTTTCACTTTGTCCAGTAGTGAAGCTCTGAAAAAAACATAATATTAGAATCCTGAAAAGAGCTCTGTCTACATGGAGACAACTTCTTAATATGGGCAATAGCTATGCCATCTGAAGGCTACTGCAAAGTTCCTTTACTAAATTCTCAGTAAAAATTTAAAAAAACAAAATCGTGTTTTAAAACAATGTTCTCTATATCAAAGTTTGATTTTATTGGCCAGTGTGCTTGCTCCATAAAAGATTGCACCATATTATTCTTAGTGAAAAAAGGAGGAAAAAGGAAGCTTGGTGCAACCATAAAAGTAGAGATTTGAATTCTTTTACAATTCCTCTTTCAGTAATTAATCTTTAGAGCTAGTAGGTTCAAGGTGAACTTCCCTTAAACTTTTGTTTAGCCTAGAATCGGAATAGAATTGTTTTTAGAGCCACCTACTTAGAAACACTGCCTGATTAAACCTCTCAGATCACTTGATCCTAATGTTCCCCTTCTGTACTCTTACCATTAGTCAGGACATTCTGTTGTGTTGGACCTCTCTGGTAATAATATAATCTATTTTGTTATCTGTCATTATGGTCTTGAATGTTGCTTTTGCCTGCTTAAAGGGAATTCTGGCATCTATGCCACCTCTATTTCCTCTGTACTCTTTCCTATTTTCATGAGTGGCTCTAGTTTCAAATTTTAGCCCCTTTCAAACTGCCGTATTTTCTGAATTTGGGGGGTAATCCTTCCCAGGGCATGTCCTTAATACTTAGTAGAGATCATCTAAGTAAGAACGTATATTTTAGGAAGTAAATATAGGCGAAAGAGCAATATTGAAAACAATTTATATTAATGAGAAAATTATATACAGTTTCATGTACTACTTTCTTAAATTCTTTCCCAGTTTTAAAATTCAGAATTTATTAAATGTTAATAGTTAATTCTATTATTTTATACAGAAAGCAGTTCCGGAAGCAATTTTGCCTTTTATTATTAAATAACTATATTTTTATAATATTTTTAAAATTGTAAATATTTTCGTTTGAGACTTCCTTAAATATAATGGAATGTATTCATAGCCTGGTTGCATTTGGCGAATGTATTTGGTAATATTTCAAAAACTATTTTTAGGTATTTTATAACTGTAGCTGTGTGGAAGTAATTGGTCTCCAGAACAAAAGTTACTCGGCGCACTTGGTGAATGCCCAAGAGATGATGCTTGTGCAAGGAATTATTGCATTTATTTTGCAGTTCTAGTTTTAAATTCTTTCCTCTGTGCCATTGGACTTACTTCATATTCCGTGCTGGTGATTAGGTAAGTATGATGTTATAAAACATTATCATGTATATTGAACTAATAACACACCCAATTATGTATGTAGTTTCCATATTTTAGCTCAGATTCATAATTTGTTACATTTTAATTTTCTGGGAATTCTTTTTCTTAGAATTATTATGATCTTTCAATGCCATCATTAGTAATATAATTTTGTCTGTAATACTTCCATTGTGATATTTATCCTCTATATGTTTTTCTTTTAATAAGACTCTTAAGAAACACACTGATTGGCAATTGCCTCAATTGTAAAAGAATCCCTTAATGATTCAAAAAGAACTTTTAACTATAAGTTGCTTTGGACCTTAGTGGGCCAGTTAGAGAAAATCATCTGTTGATTTCATTGAAAAAAACATTTTCAACAGGATATAAATATAAACTTCAGTGTGCAATGAAATTCTAATGCTTTTAATTCTCCCACAGCATGGCTTTTGACCTAGTATCCCATAATACTCTTGTAGACAGTAGAAAAATATATGTAAATAATTAATTCCTTTGTTCACTCATTAAACAGATATTTAGACAGGATGTGATGCTTAATGAAGAATGCTGGTAAGTAAAACCAATAAGGTACCTGTTGTTTCATAGCTTAGAAAAACAAGTGATGTGTAAACAAATAATTACAAATTGCCCTTCATCTTAAGGAAAAAGACTGCTAATAAAGGGAATAAAAATACAAACTAAAGTTTGGATCGAAATGAAAGGATATGAAGGAAAGGACTTACAAAGTACATCTTAAAAGAAGTGATATTTTATCTAAGGGTGTAAAGAAAAAGCCAGATGAAGGGCTTTCAGGGAGAGTGTCTAGCTGCTGATTCCTTAAAACGAGAAACAGCAGTTTGTTTGAAGAATGAAAAAAAATCCAGTTCATTGGATCATATGGAGTGGGGGTGGTGTGGCACAAGGTAAGTTTGTTGAGTTAGGGAGGAAGCAGATAATGTGTGCCCTAATGGACAATATAATAATTCAATCATCTAAAACTGGAAACATGTAAAGACAGGCATGTAAATCTTAGAAATAGACATGATAAGTAGAGTGAGCTGAGTTAACTGCTAATTGTACTTTTAAAACCTATTGGTTGATCACATTCACAGTCAGCCAACAGCATGACATGTTAGGAAACAAAAAACCAACAATGTATTTTAAAATTTTGTTAACATGAAAATAAACCTGTAAACTAAATATACAGATGTTAAATTTTGATCCTGACTGCAAGTCTTATCAAAGTATTTGTTTTTTGACTATGTAATAATAGCTATGATAAGGGCATAAGATGATACTGTGATTTTAATTTTAATTTATCCGATGATTAGTGATGTTGGGGATTTTTTATATGTTTATTGAACACTTGTATGTCTTCCTTTGAAAAATGTCTGTTCATTTCCTATGACCACTTTTTAATGAGGTTCATTATCTTTTTTTTTTTTCAGTTATTTGAGTTTGTCGTATATTATGGATATTAGCACTTTATCAGATGCATGGTTTACAAATATTTTCTTCTTTTCTGTGGTTTGTCTGTGTCCTCTGTTGATTATATCTTTTACTGAGCAGAAGGTTTTTAGTTTAATTAAGTTTAATTGGTGTATATTTGTTGTTGCAGTTGCATTTCCTTTTGAGGACATCGTCATAAATTCTTTGCCTAGAACAATGTCCAGAAGAGTTTTTCCTAGATTTTCCCCTAAAATTTTTTAGAATTTCAGGCTTTACGTTTACATCTTTAATCAATTTTGAGTTAATTTTTATATATGGCAAGAGATATGGATTCAATTTTATGTCTGCATATATGACTCTACAACTTTCCCAGCACCATTTATTGAATATGGTGTCCTTTCCTCAGTGTACATATTTTTTTGCCTTTGTCAAAGATGACTATGTTGTAGGTATGCGGCTTTGTCTCTGGCTTCTGTAGTCTGTTCCATTAATCTATGCATCTATTTTTATACTAGTAGTGTTTATTTTGGCTTATAGGCTTGTAATATAAAGTCAGGTGAATTTTAATTTTTTTTCTAATTCTATAACAATTGAAATTGATAATTTAATAGAAATTGCATTGTATCTATAGATTTCTTTGAGCAGGATGGTCATTTCACACAATACTCATTATTCTAATTCATAAGCATGGGAAATTTTCCATTTGTTTGTGTGATATATGACTTTTTTCATCCGTTCTTTTTGTAGAGATTTTTTACCTCTTTGGTTAAATGTATTCCTATTTTTTTTTATTGCTTATATCTATCAGTAAAACAAATCTTATTATAGACAACTATATTATCTATCAGTTATCTGTAAGATAGATAACTGTATTGGTTTGGTTCTCAACTAGATCATTATTCGTGTATGGAAATGATACTCACTTTGTACATTGGTTTTGTATCCTGAAACTTTACTGAAGTAGCTTATCAAGTCTAGGAGACTTTCAGAGGAGTGTTTAGGATTTTCTAGGTATGAGATTATATCATAAATGAACAGAAATAATTTGAATACTTGTTTTCCAATTTGGATATCTTTGGATACCTTTTATTCTTTTCTTTGCGTGATTGCTCTAGATAGAACTCCCAATACTATGTTCAACAGGAGTGCTGAAAATAAGCATCCTCATTTTGTTCCCATTCTTAGAAGTAATGCTTACAATTTCCCTTTACTCCATATGTTGTAGGCTGTGGTTTGCTTTTTATGGCTTTCATTATTTTGAAGTTTGTTTCTTCTATGCCTAGTTTAGTAATGGTTTTTATCATAAAGGGATGCTTGATTTTATGAAGTGCTTTTTCTGTATCAATTGATTTTATCATATGCTTTTTGGTTTTAATTATATTAATTTGATGAATCACATATATTGATTTGTATATGTTGACCCATCCTTGCATTTCAATAATAAATCCCATTTCATCATTGTGATGAATCTTTTGATGTGCTACTGAACTTAATTTTCCACTGTTTTGTTGAAGATATTTGGATCTATGTTCATCAGGAATATTGGTCTGTAGTTTTATGTTTTATTTGTTGTTTTCTTGCCCAGTTTTGGTGTCAGGGTGATGCTGATGTTGTAGAATGAGTTAGGGAGGATTCTTTCTTGATTTTTTTAGAACAGTTTTATTAGAATTGGTATCATTTCTTCCTTGTTTCTTTGGTAGAATTTGTCAGTGATGTCAACTGTTCTTGCACTTTTTGTTGTTGTTGCTAGAGATTGTTTTATTACTGATTCAGTTTCATTACTCATTGTTTGTTTGCTCAGTGTTTCTATTTCTTTTGGTTCAAATTCTGGAGGTTGTATGTTTCCAGGAATTTATCAATTTCCTCCAGGTTTTCTATTTTGTATATGTAGAGATGTACATAGTAGTCTCTGATGATCTTTTGTATTGCTGTGGTAATAGTTTTAATGTTCCCTTTATCATTTCTGATTGTGCTTATTTGAATCTTCTTTTTTATGATTAATCTACTAGCATCTAGCAATCTTCTTTATATTTTCAAATAACCAACTTTTTATTTCACTGATCCTTTGTAAATTTTTTGCCCACATTTCATTTACTTTTGTTCTTTGTTATTACTTTAATCTGCCAGTTTTGAGTCTGTGTTGTTCTTGACTCAAATGAAATAACACATTTAACTTTAACTTCTCGGGGTGCTTTTTGTAATGAATTCATCCCGGAAGATGTCCATGAAAATCCAGAGATGCTCGATATCATATATGAAGCAGGAGTCACACTACAGTCATATGTATCTTACATGATAACAGGGCATGGGTGTGTGCATGCAAGTGAACATGTGAGTATCAGCATGAAGGGAGTAGTGTGAGTGTGCACTCATGTGAATAAGTGAGTGTGTGTGATTTTTCTTGTATATATATGTTATTATATTACACACATTCATCATTTCCACCGAATTTAAGATCTCAGGCCCGCTCTTAGAAAAATACTCACCCTATCTGCAAGTCCCTCAAATCTCCTGCATGCTTACCCTTTCCCAGGGTGAAAATGCAAGTTGATAACACATGTCAGTTTGCCTTGTGTGTGTAGTATACAAAGTGCAATCTGATATTTGAGAGTAATATCTCGATAGAAAAGCTAACCTCTCCTTCCTGCTGATTTTCTCCTGACCATCTCTTTATAAACTTCCTCCTTAAATAGCAGACATGGATTCATTGTCTTCAGTGTGGTGTTGTGCTCTCAACTGGGCTAACAAAGTGCTTCTGTATTTGGTGAAAGCAGAGCCAAAACACACTTTCCATTTATTGTCTCTCCTAATATATAACTCTCTTATATTTAACTGTCACTATATTATGTTTTATTTAATTTTTGACTTTTAAAATTTTATAAATTCTGTTGAATTATTTTCAGAATCTCAACAAATGATAACTGTTTTGTAAGAAAAAGTGGCAATTATGTGTAAATGAAATTGAAGTTTGGAGTGCTAGCTCATTTTATTGAATTCTTATAACACGAGATAAGCATTATTATCCTCATTTAGCAAACAAGGAAACTGAGGCTAAGAAAGATTAAGAGATATACTTCTCCAAGTCACTTAGATGAGAAGAAGCATAATTTGTCTATTTACTCCCAAGATCATTAACTAGCATAGTATTTCTTATTAGTTGCTTAGTGAACGTTTGTTGATTGATGACAGCTACTTCACTCTCTGAACAAATAACTGTCCAAGAGTTCAAGGAAAAACAACTTTTACATCAGTTAATTTATTATTTCAGTACAACAGGGCTTTTTGAGTCACAGTCACCCCGCTTATACCAATTCACCACCTCCACTAATGCAAGATAATTTCATTTCACTGGTATGTACTAAGTTACCACAGGGATGGTAGTGTCATCAGTTTATTGAACACAGAAAAATGGAATTGGGGAAATGCAAGAGTGAGTTAATTTCTATGTGAGAATACAAGTGTATTCTTTATCTTTAATGTAATAGTTAAATATACAAGACACTAAAATACAGAAAAGTTTTTTGATCCTTCTGGTTGTATTATATAATTTATGAATCATATTAGTAAACTACTCTGTTAACACTGATGACAGAAATAACCTGACAAAAAGAGGACTACTAAGAATTACTTTTGGATAAAGGTCTATAATATTTTCATGTGAGTTACCTCATCTAAATAGTCCACACAAAATCATTTCTTCATAAGCATAACAAATGTGTTCACCACTTTTTAATAGAATTTTCATAAGGATCAAAAGTGAAAATATTTGTTAAACTGTCCTGAAATCATAAAGCATAAAATAAGTAAGGAAATAATAATAATTACTGTTACCACCCATGTTTTTGCTTTTAAAGCAATTGAAAATATAATTTTATTTAATGTGGGCCATTCACTTAAGTGTTCTCATTCTGCCATAAAGAAAAATGACACTGATAAATGTTTTGATATTAACTTAGTTTGATATTTTAATGATGTGTATTGTTTCTTTGCCTTAATCATATTGCAGGATTGTTCAACCTGAATTGAAAGCACTTGCAATTGGCTTCCATTCATTGATTATGCGATCACTAGGTATGATAAATATAGATTACAAATTTAACATGTAAATATTTATGTTAAGGTTTAAAGAAAATGTAATTAATTTTAACTATAAGAATGTATAAAAAGATATAAGAATCATTGCCTTTTTTGATAAATTAAAATAATAAGACACAGGACAATTGAGTGACTTAGAAGAGAATTTGATTGTTAATTTTTGTGAAAGTCAATCTATTAAGAGCAAAGAATCATCATATTTATATTATACTCTTTCTAACAGAAAGGTAATATCTAAAATTTTCCTTCTTTCAGAAAAAGAACAATGTTTCTTCCAGGTATAGGCAGAGTGGAGGGCCTTCCTTCTAAATGGAAGCATTATTTAGGACTGGCCTTAAGTATCTTAGGAGCCTTAGGAATCTGGTCAGATTCCTAAGATTTATACAACAATCTTCTGTTGTATAAAACAACAGAAGCTGACATTAACTGTGCCACTTCCCACGGCCTGGTCCTGTAAGGCTGAGCAGCTAACTATTGTCAGGAGTTAATGCAAAAGGGAATGAGAATGCAAACTCTACAACTGGGAATCTTAGATTAAGAGTGCATTCTGAATAAAAGAAAGATCAGAAAATTGTGGTTTATGTTGGCAAAAAGTAGGATTGTAAACTCCAGAGGCCAAAGGCCATTAACAAATATTTTAAATTTATTTTTTGTTATTTCAGTAGGATTTTGGGAAATAAGTGATGTTTGTTACATGAATAAATGCTCAATAGTGATTTCTGAGATTTTGGTGCACCCATCAACCAAGCAGTGTGCACCATACCCGATGTGTAGACTTTTATCCATCACCAACCTCCCATCCTTTCCCCTTAGTCTCCTAAGTCTATTGGATCATTCTTACTCCTTTGAATCCTCATAACTTTTTTCCCAATTATGAGTGTGAACGTTTGATGTTTGGTTTTTCATTCCTGAGTTACTTCACTTAGCATAGTAGTCTCCAATTCCGTCCAGGTTACTGTGAATGCCATTATTTCATTCATTTTATGGCTGATATATAATATACATATACCATATTTCCTTTAGCCACTCATTGATTGATGGGCATTTGGGCTGGTTCCATATTTTTGCAATTGCAAATTATGCTACTATAAACAGGCATGTGCAAGTACATTTTTTGTATACTCTTTTTCTCTGGCTAGGTACCTAGAATGGGATTGCTGGATCAAATGGTAGATCCACTTTTAATTATTTAAGATATCTCCACACTGTTTTCCATAGTGGTCGTACTAGTGTACATTTCCTCAAACAGCGTAAAAGTGTTCCCTTTTCACCACATCCAAATCAATACTTATTATTTTTAATTTTTTTTATTATGGCCATTCTTGGAGGAGTGAGGTGATATCACATTGTGGTTTTGATTTGCATTTTCCTGATAATTAGTGATGTTGAGCATTTTTCCATATGCTTGTTGGCCATTTCTATTTCTTCTTTTGAGAATTGCCTATGCATGTCCTTAGCCCGCTTTTTGATGGGATTGTTTGGTTTTTGTCTTTCTGATTTGTTTGAGTTCTTTGTAGATTCAGTATATTAGTCTTTTGTCAGGTGTACAGATTGTGAAGATTTTCTGCTGTTCTGTGGATTGTGTATTAACTCTGCTGATATTTCTTTTGCTGTGCCAAAATGTTTAAGTTTAATTCAGTCCCATCTATCTTTGCATTTGTTGTATTTACTTTCGGGTTCTTGTTCATGAAGTCTTTGCCGAAGCCAATGTCTAGAATAGCTTTTCCAATGTTATCTTCTAGAATTTTTATGGTTTCACGTCTTATATTTAAGTCTTTGATCCATCTTGAGTTGATTTTCATATGAGGTGAGAGATCAGAATCCAGTTTCATTTTTCTGCATGTGACTTGGCAATTATCCCAGCACCATTTGTTGATTAGGGTATTCTTTCCCCAGTTTATATTTTTGTTTGGTTTGTCAAATATCAGTTGGCTGTAAGTATTTGGCTCTGAGTTCTCTATTGTGTTCTGTTGGTCTATGTGCTTATTTTTATACCAGTACCATGCTGTTTTGGTGACTATGGCCTTATACTATAGTTTGAAGTCAGGTAAGGTGATATCTCCAGATTTGTTTGTTTTGCTTAGTCTTACTTTGGCTATGAAGGCTCTTATGCAGTTCCATGTGAATTTTAAGATTGTTTTTTCTAGTTCTGTGAAGAATGATAGTGGTATTTTGATAGGAGTTGCATTGAATTTGTAGGTTGCTTTTGGCAGTATGGTCATTTTCACAATATTGATTCTACTCATCCGTGAGCCTGGAATGTGTTTCCACTTCTTTTCATCATCTATGATTCTTCCCACAGTGTTTTGTAGTTTTCCTTGTAGATGTCTTTCAACTCCTTTGTTAGGTATATTCCTAAGAATTATTTTATTGTTTGACAGCTATTTTAAAAGCGGTTGAGTTCTTGATTTGATTCTCAGCTTAGTCATTGTTGGTTTGTAACAGAGATACTGATTTGTATACATTGATTTTGTATCTTGAAACTTTGCTGAATTCATTCACTAGTTTATGGAGCTTTTTGGATGAGTCCCTTAGGGATTTCTATGTTTACAGTTATATCATCTCTAAACAGTGATAGTTTGACTTCCTTTTTATCAATTTGTATGCCCTTGATTTTTTTTCTCTTGTCTGATTGCTCTGGCTAGGACTACCAGTATTATGTTTTGTTCCAAAGTAGGCATCTTTATCTTGTTCAAATTTCAGGGGGAATGCTTTCAACTTTTCCTCATTCAATAAAATGTTAGCTATGGGTTTGCCATAGATAGCTTTTGTTACTTTAAGGTGTGTCTCTTCTCTGCCAATTTTACTGAGGGTTTTAATCATAAAGTGATGCCGGATTTTATCAAATGCCTTTTCTGCATCTGTTAAGATGATCATATGATTTTTTTCATTCTGTTTTTGTGGTGTATTTATTGACTGGTGGATGTTAAATCATCCCTACACCTCTGGTATGAAACCCACTTTACCATGGTGCATTATCTTTCTGATCTTCCGTTAGATTCTGTTAGCTGGTATTTTGTTAAAGATTTTTGCTTCTAAGTTCATCAAGGATATTGGTCTGTGGCTAGGCCTTTCCAAAAAGTTTTCTTTTTTTGTTATGTCCTTCCCTGGTTTGGGTATTAGACTGATACTGGCATTATAGAAAATTTAGGGAGGATTCCTCCTTTCTCTATCCTGTGGAATACTGTCAATAGGATTGGTAACAATTCTTATTTGAATTCCTGATAGAATTCAGCTGTGAATCTGTCTGGTTCTGAACTCTTTTTGTTGGTAGTTTTTAGATTACCATTTCAATCTCACTGCTTTTTATTGGTCTGTTCAGAGTTTCTATTTCTTCCTGGTTTAATCTAGGAGGGTTTTTTTTTCCCCCCCACAGATAGCTGCCTTCTAGGTTTTATTTATTTATTTTTAATTTTTTAAAATTTATTTGTTATACTTTAAGTTCTGAGGTACATATGCAGATTGTGCAGGTTTGTTACATAGGTATACATGTGCCATGGTGGTGGGTTGCTGCATGCATCACCCCATCATCTACATGAGGTATTTCTCCTAATACTATCCCTTTCCAATCCTCCCACCACCTGCTCCCTTAGCCCCCCACCCCCCAGGCCCAATTGGGTAATGTTCCCCTCCCTGTGTCCATGTGTTCTCATTGTTCAACACGCACTTATGAGTGAGAACATGCGGCATTTGGTTTTCTATTCTTGTGTCAGTTTGCTGAGAATGATGGTTTCCAGTTTCATCCATGTCCTTGAAAAAGGACATAAACTCATCCTTTTTTATGGCTGCATAGTATTCCATGGTGTATATGTGCCACATGTTTTTTATCCAGTCTATCATTGATGGGCATTTGGGTTGGTTCCAAGTCTTTGCTATTGTGAAAAGTGCTGTAAAAATGTGCATGTGTCTTTATAATAGAATGATTTATAATCCTTTGGGTATGTACCCAGCAATGGGATTGCTGGGTCAAATTGTATTTCTATGTCTAGATCCTTGAGAAATCACCACACTGTCTTCCACAATTGTTGAATTAATTTACACTCCCACCAACAATGTAAAAGCGTTCCTATTTCTCCACATCCTCTCCAGCATCGGATGTCTCCTGATTTTTTAATGATCGCCATTCTAACTGGTGTGAGGTGGTATCTCAGGGGTTTTCATTTGTATTGATCTAATAACCAGTGATGATGAGCTTTTGTTCATATGTTTGTTGGCTGCATAAATGTCTTCTTTTGAAAACTGTCTATTCATATGCTTTGCCCACCTTTTGATGGGGTTGTTTTTTTCTTATAAATTTGTTTAAGTTCTCTGTAGATTCTGGATATTATCCCTTTGTCAGATGGATAGATTGCAAACATTTTTTTCCATTCTGTTGGTTGCCAATTTACTCTACTGATAATTTCTTCTGTTTTGTAGAAGCTCTTAAGTTTAATTAGATCACATTTGTCTATTTTGGCATTTGTTACCATTGTTTTTGGTGTTTTAGTCATGAAGTCCTTGCCCATGCCTGTGTCCTGAATGGTATTGCCTAGGTTTTCTTCCTGAGTTTTTATGGTATTAGGCCTCATGTTTAAATCTTTAATCCATCTAGCATTAATTTTTGTATAAAGTGTAAGGAAGGGATCCAGTTTCAGCTTTCTGCATATAGCTAGCCAGTTTTTTACAACACCATTTATTAAATAGGAAATCCTTTCCCCATTGCTTGTTTTTGTCAAAGATCAGATGGCTGTAGTTGTGTGGCATTCTTTCCGAGGCCTCTGTTCTATTCCATTGGTCTATATTTCTGTTTTGGTATCAGTACCATGGTGTTTTGATTACAGTAGCCTTGTAATATAGTTTGAAGTCAGGTAGTGTGATGCCTCCAGCTTTTTTTCTTTTTGGCTTAGGATTGTCTTGGCTATGCAGGCTCTCTTTTAGTTCTATATGAAGTTTAAGGTGGTTTTTTTCCAATTCTGTGAAAAAAGTCATTGGTAGCT